AGGAAGAAACATGACCAGCTATCATCCCTAAGATGAAATGCAGAGTGGTCGTTGTGGGAGAAAGGGACAGAGAGAGAAATCTATCACCCCAACCCCTTAGTTCAGGAGGTCTGCTGCCTCCCGGGAGCCCATATCCGGGACATGGTTGAGAGGATCCCAAAACTTATCCGGCCCTCTGACCACTACCGTATACTCCTTATCCACGCGGGCATAAATGACATGGCACAGCGCAATCCCAGCTGGGTCGTGAGTGGCTACAGGGCTCTGGGAGCTGGACTCAGGAGAATAGGAGCACAGGTGGTTTTTTCCTTGATCCTTCTGGTTACGGGTCATGGGCAAAGGAGGGAGAGATGAATCAAGACAGTAAACAGAAGACTGCAGCTCTGGTTCTACCGTGAAGGCTTTGGCTTCTACAACCACAGTCCACTCTTCGGAGAGTGTGACAGTAGTCTGTTGGGAAGAGATGGCCTCCTCCTCACTCCACTGGGGAAGAAGTTCCTCTCAGCCAGAATGGCTGACTTGCTTGACCAGGCTTTAAACTAAGCTCGCCATGGGATGGGCAAACTACCATCAGAGCAAGCTAACCAAGCATCAACCACAAAACTAGCAGGTTAGGATGCTCAAGGAACCTCACTCCTACCCAAGCCCAGGAACAGAGCTTCTCCATGAGTATAAGGAAGCCTAAGGCCTCCAACAGCACACTCATCTGCCTGCACACTAATGCTAGGAGTTTGGAGAATAAACAGGAAGAACTGGTCCTTCTGCTAAACAAAAACTTCTACAATCTCATAGGGATCACAGAGATCTGGTGGGACTCCACCTATGACTGGACTACCGGTATAAATGGCTATACCCTGTACGGGAGAGATCGTGCTAAAAAAGGGGCGGGGGTACAGCTCTTTATATGAAGGAGAACTACATGTCCCTACAAGCTGAGATTGGCACCCAAGGAGAATGACTGGAAACCCTTTGGGTTAGAATATGAGGGGAACATAGTGAAGGAGATACAATGGTAGAAGTCTACTACAGACCTCCAAACCAGGAACATGAGCTTGACCAAGAATTCACCAGGGAGCTGGCTGAGGCTGCACGCTCTCAGTGCATGGTCATGATGGGCAATTTTAACTACTTGGACATCTCATGGGATGAGCACTCAGCTAAATCCGATTGGTCACAAAGCTTCCTTACCTGCATGGATGAACTCTACCTGTCTCAAAAAGTTTATGGGCCAACAAGAGGCAAGGCACTGTTGGACCTGGTACTGGCCAAAGGGGGTGATCTAATCAGCAACCTAAGAATCAGAGGGAACCTGGGTGACAGTGACCACGAGTTGATCATTTTCACCATCCATCACAGAGCTGGCAAGTCACGCAGCAATGCAGCAGACCTTGAATTTAGGAAAGCTAACTTTCATAAGCTCAGGAGGCTTGTTCTTGAGGCCCTGAGAGGCCATGATTTCACAGGGAGGGGAGTTCAGGATGGGTATTTGCTCCTTAAGGAACTGATCCTAGAAGCACAAGGGGAGTCCATCCCAACCCGTAGGAAAGGTGGTAAAAGGGCTCAACAACCCCATTGGTTCAACAGGGAACTCATGGATCTCCTACATCTAAAAAGAATGGAGTATAAAGGATGGAAGAAAGGAAACATCACTAAGGAAGAGTATACTGTACTGGTTCACATCTGCAGGGAGCCAATTAGAAAAGCCAAGGCTGCAACTGAACTCTATCTGGCCATGCGAATTAAGGACAATAAAAAGTCCTTCTTTAGATATGTAGGGAGTCAAAAGAAAAACAAGGGCAGAACTGGACCCCTGCTAAGGCAGCTCGGGCAGCTGATTAGCAACCCCCAGGAAAAAGCCAATCTGCTTAATGATTACTTTGAGTTGGTTTTTCACCAGCTCAAAGGGACTACCCTACCTAACATGACGCGGGATGACCAGGGTAAGGATGAATATTGCCAGTCACTGGTGTGGATCTTGTGAGGGAGCATCTTGAGAGGCTGGACCCCCATAAATCAGCTGGTCCAGATAGGCTGCACCCAAGAGTGCTAAAGGAACTGGCAGACATCATAGTGCAGCCACTGGTGAGGATATTCTTAGACCTGTACTCTTTAATGTCTTAATAAATGATCTGAAAACTGGTGTCAAAAGTGGGCTAGCCAAGTTCGCTGACAATACCAAACTTTGGGGAAGATTGCCCACACTTGAGGATAGGCTGGTGATCCAGGTCAACCTCAGTAGGCTTGCAAGGTGGGCGGATGAAAACCTGATGGCATTCAATACAGAGAAATGCTACACTCACTAGCATCAGGACCAGAAGAGACTTGGGGGTCATGCTTAACCACAAGATAAATATGAGCCACCAAGGTGATACTGCAGCTGGCAATGTGAATAAAACAAACTGCTGCAAGACCATTTTAGGCTGGACATAAGGAAAAACTTCTTTAATGTCCAAGCCCCCAAGGCCTGGAACAGACTCCCCATAGAGGTGATGCAAGCACCTATTCTGGACACTTTCAAGAAACATTTGGATGCTTACCTCGCTGGGATCCTTTGACCCTAGCTGACTTTCTGCCCCTTGGGCAGGGGGCTGGACCCGATGATCTTAGGAGGTCCCTTCCAGCCCTAATGTCTATGAAATCTCTCCGTCTTTCCTGGAAAAAAGTCCAGATGCTATTCTAGTTCCCTTTAGAAATAGTTTCCAGCTGCTTTATGCTTTGGTCCAATTCCTTTTGTGAAACCCTCAGCTCTTTTTTTTTAAGTTTTATTTCAAACTCTCTTGGCTACTTCTGACTTCCATGAATGCCTCCATTATTTCTGACATCTTGGTTCATCAGGTACAGCCATTCAGTATTTGAGAACTGCACTCATCTCCTGACACCAGTTTTCTCTTTTTGACCTAATGTGCTGGCCAACATTCAGAGCCCTACAGTTTTCCGTTATTAGGAAAAACTGCTAATAAAGTCCAGTATCTTTAATACAATTCTGTTTATTTACAAAGAAAGTTAAAAGGCATGTTTCCCTGAACATATGCAGAATCAAACAACAAGAAATATCTTCTTTGCTCACAGTTCACAACCCATTATACTAATATATACATTTAAATGTAGGGGCTGTCTTTTGTGTTTGGAGGCTCACTAGCTACAGGGTGGAAGATGCAGGCATTTCTACCTCAAAAGTTCCAAGTTTTGAAGAAGAAATTCTTCTCTGTAGAGGCCAGACAACTTTCCTATTTAAATTTCATGTGAAATATTCTTTATTTCAGTCACTCTGTGGGTTTGCCTGGGGCAACTGAATCACAGCTGACAGTAAATTAATGACTATGATGGTGTGATTAGTAGAGATTACAGGCAACTGAGAACCTGCCTGAGCATTTACCACTGTCATAATACTTATGCTGGCTATTATTATGGATTAATAATGGTCATAAAGAGGACATGATTCCACTGTGGTAGACTCTATATAAATGTAAAATCTGTCTGCATTTTAATATCTCACTGATATTCTGATTAAATGGGGGAAAAAGCTTTAATTTTTATGAAAATTAAAATTTTTATTATGTATTTTTGCTAATCGGCTATTTTATTAATTTATTTAAACCTTTATAAACAAATAGTCTCTCTCAGCAATAAGGCAGCAGCAGGGCAAATAAACACATTCAACAAAGAATTTGAAATTATATAAGCCCTACAGAAGAAACCAAACTTAAGATGAGAGACACTTTCATTATTGGATACTACTCTGAAGGGCAATTGGAGGAAATAATGATTTCACTAATCCCCAACAATGATTTTTGAAGAGTTCAAATAAGAGTTTGTTTGTTCTGAGTGAGGTTCACCGAGTAGATGTTATTTGATTTTTCAATTTCCTTGGGGAGGAACTTCAGATTTCCTAGGTTTTTAGGGGGTAACAAGAACATTTGCTGAACTTGTATGAGAATATCTTGACTGTTAAAAGACAAAATAAAAGTGGACTCTGTACTTGTTTACCAAAGCTTCCCCATCCATTTCATTTCCAAATATCAAACAGTAATCTGAAACCTTTAGAAAATTATTATGTAGTATTAAAGGAGAGTAAATATTAGGAAAGGATATTTTCATACTTTCATGTAAGCTACTGAATAATTTATATATATGTTATTGAAAATACTAAACTCTATAAGGTTATGCAAAAGCTGAATATAATTTAATAATAAAAAATACCATGTGCTGTTTATAGTTTCTATTAGAAACATTTTACCACTGTATCATAGGAAGGATGAAAAGCTAATGACTGACAAATAAGAAGAATATTTAAACTATGAAATGCAAATCTAATGAAGGGCAACATTACAAATGACAAGTTATCATTTTGGGAAGATACACATTACAGTTTTTCAGTCACTCAAAAAACCATCACTCCTGTCATTAAAGTGTATAATGAATGTACAAGTACATAGATATAAATAGTACAGAGCACAATTTGTTGTAAATTCAATCCTTACAACTTCAAATATTAACAAACAAGTTACAGAAATTATACCCAATTTCAAAGTCAGAGCCTGATCTTTCATACATTGAAGAATGTGCCTAAGCATCTGCAAAACTGCACTCTTAGGTGGTAGAAAAAAAGCCAATTAATTCTGAAAATGAGAAGAAAAACCAATTAAGCTTCTAGTAACAGTTTTTTGATTTAGGAAAGGCTTTCTTTAAAGTGTCAAAACTGCAAAAGCAGAGAAGTTGAACTACAATTTCCATTGCACAACCATGATATGTGTGTAATAAGCTTTCTGAACTCATAATTAGACATGCATAGCAAAATCTTGCTTTCATTTATAACCATACACTTTACTGAAGTCTGGGATATTGAATAGGTATATGTGATGGCAGAACTTGCTTCTTTATGTTTTTGTTTTAAATGAGCACCCCTGCTAGTATTTTTCTCACAGCAGTTGGTTATCAGCAGTGCAAATACAAGATCTGTAAATGTAAAAAGAAATGCTGCAGTATGCCAATCATCTTACCTCATACTCGAAGTCTTCTGTTCTATCTGCATCAGCAGGCAGGCTGGAAAGATAGTCGTTACCTTCGTAAAATTCATGCTCCACTGGGTGAAGCGAATGGCAGCTATGTGAAACAAAGCAGTACAATGAAAATAGATGAGACAATAGTTTTTCAAATTAAAAATGATAAAAAAAAATCTTCTGTGTAGTTTTCTCATCTCTGAAATTCTGTTTTGAATGATCTGACCATCTGAAAAAATGGAACTAGGAAGGATATGGGGCTCTTTCAAATGCACAGAGACCAGTTAATTACATTTTGTTGGGTTCAACGACTAAATACCTTGTGTCAGATGTATACACGATCATTTCTGAAAAGTGATTGAAGCAGAACATTGTTTTTGGCAACGTGCTTCAATGATTAAAATATCTGTGATTTCTCCTAGTTAAACGTACCTAAGCTGTAGGTTCGAAGGCTATGTCTATGTGCACCCAAAAACACACTTCAGATTAGAACAACACTCCCCTTATTACATTTTACCACCTTAAATCCCTTAACTGAAGTCTCAAATATGTATAATCTTAAGTGAAGTAATGTGCACTCTATACCCTTCTCTAGGAAAAGTCAATAGGTAAATGTAATGATACTCCTGAAAGCATCAACAAAGAAGACACTTGCATTGGTTGGATAAAACCTACAGAGAGCTTTGTGTCTGTGTGCTTGTGAGAGCTTGAAAAATGATATACAGTCTGCAGTTGTGCTTCTTGGAGGCCCACAGAATACGTGGCCTTCAAGGGGAAAGCTCTAGTATCACTGCAGTTTTGCCTGTAGCATAGCACAGGGCTAAGGTGGAAGGAAATAAGTGACAAACAATTGAAGTAACTCATGGAGGTGACGATAGAGTATAGAGGATGAATCACAGAAAATTAGGGTTGGAAGAGACCGCAGGAGATCATCTAGTTCAACCCCCTACTCAAAGTACGACCATTCCCAACTAGATGATCCTAGCCAAGGCTTTGTTTAGCTAGGTCTTAAAAACTGCCAAGAATGGAGAGTCCACAACCTCTCTGGGTAAAGTCCTGTTCCAGCATTTTACTACCCTCCCAGTAAGAAAGTTTTTCCTAATATCTAACCTAAACTTCCCTTGCTGAAACTTGAGACCATTGCTCCTTGTTCTGTCATCTGTCACCTCCGAGAACAGTTTAGCTCCATCCTCTATGGAACCACCCTTCAGGTAGCTGAAGGCTGTTATTAAATCCCCACCCGAGTCTTCTCTTTTCCAGACTAAATAAGCTCAGTTCCCTCAGCCCCTGTTCAGAAGTCATGTCCCCCAGCCTCCAAACCATTTTTGTTGCCCTCCACTGGACTCTCTCCAATTTGACCACATCCTTTCTACAGTGCAGGGCCCCAAACTGGACACTGTACTCCAGATGTGGCCTCACCACTGCCAAATAGAGGAGAAGAAGAATTTCCCTTGATCTATTGGCAACACTCCTACTAATGCAGCCCACTATGGTGTTAGCTTTCTTCCCAACAAGGGCACTTCATAACTTTTGGCTTATATTCAGTTTATCATCCACTATAATCCCCAGGTCTTTTTCTGCTGATCTGCTGCTTAGCTAATCGGTCTCCAGCCTGTACCACTACGTAGGATTGGTCCTAAGTGCAGAACTTTGCATTTGTCCTTATTGAACCTCATAAGATTAGGATAGATAGGATGGATCCATATTTTAGCATAACTATTCTAGGCCAACATTTAAATCCATAAATTTCAGGTAGAGATTTTACTGATAATTTATTACATTTTGTTTGCCATTTGGCAGGTGAGACTCTAGGTTTAATATCTATACTTTCAGTACAGTTTTGCTGTAGGAAAGTGAACTTTCATTAGTTTCTTTGCTTCCTCTTTTGTGAGACTTAAATAGTAATAATAATGATGATGATAATGATGTATGCAATAACAATAAAACAATTCTTTATGAAATTTTATGAACCTTTTGGCTTTCTCCCTAACTTTAATTAGGATAAAGCCTTTTTTTTTTTTCAAAGAATAACTATGAGTATGAAATAATCAGAACTGGGTTCCTCTAGTCTGTGAGTGAAGTTCAAGACTGAAACAGCCACTGCTCTAGGCCAATCTACAGCAGTGGCTAACAGTAAGCATTGCACAGAATAAGATGAAAATGGTCAAGTGGCATTTTCCAGAGAGAACTGTGATACTAACACTGCAATTAATTCTTTGGTAGCAAAAAATCTCTTTGAAACAAATACAGCAAAAGCTGTGTTAACCGGCACTTTATTAGCCAGAAAACTATTAACCAGCATCCAAGGGATCAGGGGACAGAGGGAAGGCCTCATGAGGGCAGCAGGGAAGGCCTTATGAGGAGAGGCTATGGGACCTGAACCTGTTCAGCCTCCACAAGAGAAGGCTGAGGGGGGATCTAGTGGCCTGTTACAAACTAGTTAGGGGGGATCAGCAGGCACTGGGGAAGTCCCTGTTCCCCCAAGCACTGCCAGGAGTGACCAGGAATA